GGCTGCTAATAGGAGTGAAGATCACTTCAATGTGAATCTGTCAATGATTCCAGGTGCCAATAACTGTGTATAGTTCTCGGCATAGCAGTGTCCGGTAAGTTTTGTATGTCGTGTGGAAGTGACATGCAAAAGTGCTGTATTTATATGTAACAACATTCAGTGAACCCAAATTTTCCTAAAATTATAAGGACACATATATTTATATTGTCAAATACAAATGCTGTAGACTGGGACATGTTCATTTCCTTTTGAGCTCACCGTGTCATTTCCAGGGCTTTGGAGTCGCAGCCAGAAGCAATTTTAGGTGGAGTCAGAGTCGGTAAAAATGTACTGACTCCGACCTCGACATAAGAACAGTTTCGCTACCGTGTGGGCCGCTTAGGGAGATTCAACGATGCGTTAAGCCACATGGTGTGGGAATAATGCCTTGTAACTTTGGCTCCAGTACCTTAAGAATACAAACTGTCTACAAATCAACAGATTTCTGCACAAACCATTACACGTATATTTAAATACTGGGATACTGGGAACGACCCGTTCTTCAAGTTCCTGAGCACTGCGGATCCCAACTTATCATTGGCTTGATCTATCGACATTCGGTAGGACTCCTTGGACGAGGGATCGGCCCGTCGCAAGGCCTCTACCTGTACACAGGACAGCACAACGCAGAAAAACGCGGACAAACATCCATGGCTTAAGTGGGATTGGAACCCACGGTCCCAGCGACCAAGCGGCACAAGACTGTGGCACGGCCACTGCGGACCCCATATATTTAAATATAGGTGCTGATGAAATATCTTGTGGTACCATTTACCATTTTAGTATCACTCACCTCTATCTACCAAGTGCCAAGTTTAAGATGTGACCTTCATGCCCTCACATGGTATGGCAGTGCTTAGGAACAAGGTGATGTAGATTGTGGTGAAATGAATGTTACCGAACTTCAAACTGAGATCAAGTGATGGCATATCTTATTACCCCATATTGTTCCAGGATTATTAGTTAGGAACTGTTGACATAGCATCTTCTTGTCAATGTTTGTCTTCTGGGTAGCAACACTGTGTGGACTTGTTGTAGCTAGACATGAGTGTTTTGGAGAAATATACAGAAGATAAAGTGAGTACATTTCTTTGAGACATTGGTATCTCACTACAAGTCCAAATAGTGTTACTGCTCAGAACACCAATTTCCCATCATCACCATTCAGAAAACCTTATATTACTCCTTGTACCCCCTTGTGTACAGTTCCTTTATGATACTGAAATAACTGGGGGTGTTCAAATTTGATGTAGACTTTAGTATGTGTGATGTTGCCAGTATAACATAGGATGTAGAAAATAATAGTTGTTTGTTGCAACAGTAACAGTAAGAAAAGAATTGGTATCTGCATGTGGTTTTAGTTCAACTGAAATAATATTATTAAATCCCTCTAAGGAAGATGTGAATTTGCCTGTAACTCATCAGATGCTTTCAGCACAGATTGTGAAATATGAACTTTAGAATGCTGGAAAATAACAAAGATACGTACAGAGAAAAATAAAAGTGTGACAGCTCTAACCTCATGTAGAACTCCGAAAATGTATCCCAGATAAAATCATCTAGAGAAGCCGTGCAATAGATCTTAAACCAGGCCTGAAACAAGACTTTATGCTTATACACTGCCTGGTACTGAGGCAATGCTGCACCATAAACTGCTATTACCCCAGACGTAGTTAACCTAACATATTTACTCCCTGAAACCAGAAGGTTAAGGCTGCTGATTCAGAAGAATAGACACATATTTCTACTTTCAAATGTTATCATTTATTTTATGAAATCAAAACACAGAGTTACACTTTCTGTGCAATATGTTAACTTCAAAACTTTGAAGAGACGTGCCTACAATGAGATTTTTCTTCACCACAAAGGAAGGACAACATGCTATGACGCCATAACAGCTGGAGACTGTTTATGTGCCGTCACCAGAGATGGTGTGAACAGAGCGCGTTTAATTCAAATCATTTGAAAGATAATTTGGGTGGCGACATTACCTTAGGTGGTGGGTTTCCCACACTTCCGCTACTTCGTTTATAATTTTCACTATATTGTTCCCAATTTTGAAGGTTTCATATGTGCGTATACGTTCGAACTAATTTTCGACATTGGTACATACATTTAGTACTGCCAGAGCAGAGTACTTGTGATTGGTGCAAGCTACAACCGCCAATTCGGCCAAAAACAGTAATAGTTTCATTCTGAATTTTGTGCGTTAGCATCTGTACCACTGTCCATAGTTCTTTAATCTAACTATGAAATTAGAATTTATGATTGCATAGTGTTCAGTGAAGGGTATCTGCGAATTAATTTTAATTTGTTTGATTACATAAGTTGTGGTTACTGTGTTATTTGAATGTAGATTTTTTCCATCCAATTTATTTATTTTGTTTAATTCTTCGTTTACGTATTATAAGTTCTATTTATTAGTGCAGAATGAAAATTTAGTTTTTCCAATAGAGTTTGGAACCGATTTTAGAGCGTTAGAAAATAATAGTTTCAGTTTAATTGTAATTGTAATTGTGTTACAACTTTTCTTTCTTCCCTCCCTTTTCTATAATATGTTTTCATTTTTCCCTTTGTTAAACGTGTGTGAACAGGTTTATTTTAAATGTTAATATAATTTATGACACGTGTGAAGTGTTGGCATACAGGCATATTTGAATAAACGGAATTATTTTATTTCATTAAGGAAATGATGGTGATGTATTTCTTATATTAAGTGAAATAAGAACTTCGTTCATAATGGATGAGAATAACTATAGTGAACTGTCAAGCTTCTTCCCATTAAATGAGTGGAATGACATTTCAGAATATGATAAAAAACGTAATTACAATCTCCTAGAAAACTACAAGGTTTTGCAATCATGTGGTAAGTTTTTAAACTAGGAAAAATTTAGTATATTTACTTCAGAGTTACTCAGATTCCAATATTAAGTGCTTATTGGTTCGTGTTTTGTGGAAACCCTATAATCAATTATCAACTGTTTATATTAAAAAAAATTTAAATATTTATTTTACTTAGGAGTGATTGAAGAAATACAGGCCTACTTTTGGACATTTACGCTGTTAAATTAAACCTTTTTCACTATGGCATCATTTAAACTGACTTTAATGTCATTATTGTCTCATTTACTGCCTCCACACTGACATGTGAAATCACTTTTGATGACAGTTGCTAAGGAAATAACATTGTCTTTTAATTTTCTGAATTGGTCCATGTAGTTATTTTGAAGCATAAATTTATTCCGTTGTATCACACACTGTTAGTTCAGTTTTATTAAACTATGCTGTATCTGATGATTAATATTTAGGCAGTGGGAGGGTGATGCCAGCAATTTATGTAAGACCACAGTCTTCTGATGTCAGTAACAGGAGACTTTGAGTGCATTACCATTTATACAGGTTTCAAATGTGTTACATATGGGGGTACAAAATTTGGTAATGTGGTGACTATTCTCCTGTTTTGCACTGTGTACATCATAAATTTATTCCGTTGTATCACACACTGTTAGTTCAGTTTTATTAAACTATGCTGTATCTGATGATTAATATTTAGGCAGTGGGAGGGTGATGCCAGCAATTTATGTAAGACCACAGTCTTCTGATGTCAGTAACAGGAGACTTTGAGTGCATTACCATTTATACAGGTTTTGAATGTGTTACATATAGGGGCACAAAATTTGGTAATGTGGTGAGTATTCTCCTGTTTTGCACTGTGTACATCCCCAGAATACTGACATTTTTAATTTGGTAGCAGAATGTATTCTACATCTTATAATTTGGTACATATCTTTTCTCTACCAATTAATTTCTGAGTCCAAAGAAGGCTTTATCACACACTTCCATTTCTTGGACAATGCTCTTCTAAATGTAAGTTTTGTTTCCTTGTTAATCATTGGTTAGAATAGTTATATATAGAATAGTTATATGGGGAAAGCTAGAAAGACACAGTTATTATACAGTCTCTTAAATAAATAACAATCAGAAATGAGGAAAAATGACTGAAACATGACTGAGCGAGTAATAATGATGTAGCTATGATTTAAACTTGTAATACTTATATATGTTCCTTATGTTTGTCTAGAGAAGCCAGCTGAATTTATAGACTGATATGTGTACAATTTTATTATTTTCTGCATAACATTGCAGTACAAATTTTATACAAAACTTGTTGCATTTATGACTCCATCCCGACTTGCACAATTTTGGCTACAATAATTAATTAGTTACTGGCACTGAACAAATTAGTAAATACTGATTTTGCACAGTGGCCATTTTTGTTTGTTTTATATTTTGTACAAAAACAAGCTTCATAGGTTTTATGTTTTTTATAAAACATATTATCATATAAAATTTCAGGAGAGTACATTCAAAGATGCTGGTACTAATCCAACTTCAGAAGTTCAGAAGTACAGGTAGAATGGTTTTAATGGAAATTGGCCATTTGTCTTAATAGTTACTAGTGAAACACAAGCATAAGCAAAATTATACTAAATTAAAAAACGAATATCAGTAAGACTATTCTTAATAGAAGTTCTGACAGTAAGATTCTGTAACCTGAATCACTGCTAAGTATTTTTTTTGGAAAAATGTTTATGAAAGTAAGAAGATATTCTATATAAGTTAGTTATAATTATATGTAAAAAATATGTTTCATTTTTTTGTACAGGTTTGCCTACAAAAAAGCCTGATTTTCTGTGCGTGACAAAGAGAAAATCCGAGGAACAGAACTGCAAGAAAATTAATAAACGTATTAAGTTCAAACCTCAAATAAAGAGGAAGGATGGGAATGTGTCCATTGTAAGTTTCAGGATCAGTTATCACTCTTTTTTATAAAGTTTTGTGGTCAGTTAGAGGCTCATATATTTTTCATACATGTTATTAAATATAAAACTGCAATATTATTTACGGCAGTAAATAATAGTTAAGTATAGTGACTATAGTAAAATAAACTCAGAGAGAAAAGTAAAATGTTTCCATAAGGTATAAAGAAATAGTTGAATTTGTGATATAATCCATTGAGTGCTTCAATATTTTTATAAGTAATAAGGCCATTATGAGGCCTAAAACTTGAAACTTCTAGGTCTTTGATTTACAGAAGAAAAATTGAGTTATCTGATGAAAATAAATTGTTAAATTTACATCATTAGAGTTACGGTGCTTAAGTAAGTTCACAATTATTGTACTTGAAAAGGTCATCCAAGAGTTTGTTTTTCTAGTGTTGCACTTGAAGATGCGAATGGCTCATGGCTTATGGGGAATTTTCAATGAGGGCTCTTCTTAAGGAAGGGTTTATGCAGGTACTGAGATGTATAAGCGGTTGTTGCAAAATGGATGTCTGTCACATGTGAAAGCCATCACACCAGCTAAATTGTACAAATTCTTGGTCTTTATTTTTTTCTGAGAATTGAGCAACATCACTCATTACAACAAGATAATAAGTTAAGTAACTAACTAGCCATCCAACTCCATGGAGCAAAGTCTATAAAAAGCTAATAATATGTTCAGCTAATCAAGAAATTCCTTGCATTTTATGAACTGAACTGAAAGGATCATTACCATGTCCACACACAGCTGAAAGTGATTTTAACAAGTTATTAAAAAATTTTACTATAACCCACTTTAAGTTTTTGGTGCCATGATGACATCCCTTATGAAATCACAAGATGGAAATTATATTGAGGTATCTAAGTATAGTTAATTGTATACTCATTTATAAGGAAGAAAACACGCTCACACACACACAACTGTTTATAGGCACATATACATACACTTACCAAGGCTTCTATTGTATCTGTATTCATTTTGGCATTTATGCATTCATTCTTCCATCCACCCATGTAATTTTAATAATTTTATGTATGAAGATGTGGATTTTGTGCTAAGGAGACTGGCTTATGAATGAAATTGGTTACTTTTCAAAAACTGTTCTTTGTGACCTATTTCAGCCAAATTGTGGGACTGTCTGCCCTTAACGATGCCATCAGGAAGCTTGAAAGTGAACTTGAAAGTCGGGTGGAAGCAGGTGAATCATTTTAGAATACCTACTTAAAAGAAACATATTTTTTCATATCTCTGTAGTTAGAATTACTCACGTGTACTTTGCAACGATGAGTGCCAGTCAGATTAGCTATGTCTTCTTAGACATATCATCCTATTCCAGGGGAATAGATTTTTATCAGATTTGGTATCAATGGATTGTTGAAGAATATGAATAATTGCCTTACACGAAGGCTTGGATATAATTTTAGAAATAGTGTCGTACAAATTGAAGAAATTTCATGCAAAATGTGTAGTCCTTAATGAGACATTTTTGTAAAAAATAATTGCTTTCTGATACTACTGACAGTGACTGTTGTATACTTGGACTTTTTCTTAAAATAAACTGGATTGAAATTAAGATTTGAGGTTCTCATGGCAGTGAATATTAAGATGATAATCTTTACATTCTTTGCATTATGAATACTGTCTGCTGATATATTTATACACACGCGCGCGCGTGCACAGACACGAACATTTGATACATATACTACATGTTACTGTAACTGTCATCCACTTAAGCGTAACAATAGATTGCAGATAATATAAGAACATAAGAATATCTTTTCAACATATGATTTAATTCATTAACTCTTACATATGTATTTTGTACTTTGGTGATATTTCAGAGAAAGGCTCAGAAAAAGAGTCTGATGTTCCTGGGAGGCGTTATCCTAAGCGATCATTAGCTCGAAAGAATTACATGGAGGGAAATGTACTAGATGATGATGAGTACATATGTAAGTGCATTATAGTATTAATTTTATGAAGTTTTTCTGTAAGGAAGAGATGATTACTTTGTTTATTTGTTTTTGTATGTCTCTTGCTAATAATTCTTAATTAATTTGCTGACTTTTATGAAAATTACTATGGAAGTTATGTGATGGTTAGCCACTCCAATATTATACTTTCTACAGTGTTGGCAAAATGGCTGTCACTTGTCCTTTTTTCATGCCATGTTATAACAATCTGAGTGTTTGTATCATAATAGGTCTTTGAAAACTGTTCATAGTTCATGAAGAACATTTACATTGAATATGGAATTAATTTGCTGTATATTTGATAGTAGAACCTGGCATGCTCTTACCAAAGCCTGCCTTTGGCTATGATACTGAACCAGTGCATTCCACCTCCCATCCTCTCAGCCTGTTTGCCTAAATCTGTCTTCCAAGTGGCCATTTTCCAAGAAGATTCTCCACCAAAATTTTGTAAGCATTACTTGTCTGCCGAATTCAAACTCCGTGTGTATCCCACTGTAACCAGCTAGATTTTGCTCTCCTGACAGTTTTAAATGAACTGTATAAAACATTAGATTCTTCATTCTAGCATTCATGTGATTAATGACATCTTTTGAGAGAACATCATACTACACATTGCTACCGTAATTCGATTCAACTTCGAAAAAAGTCCATAGATAACATCTATTAAAGTGTGTATACATTTTTTGGGGATGGGGGGATAAAAGAATTTCAGGTTCATCTCATAGTCAGGTGATGTACAAAAATACAAAGAACATATTTAAAAATATGTGTATTGCTGTTTGGAGCACACCTTTCCACTATTGTGTAGAATTCTAAATTCTGTATATTTGGAATACTAAAAGTTTTAGGGGCAGAGAAGAGAGAATAATACTAAAAACAAAGTAAAAAATAAATGAGGGGATTAAAATAAAAAAGAACTGTCCAGTCAGTAACCAGTGAATGTGTTTACTATTAGTACCATGTGTTCAAAGAAATGAATCCAAGAGCCTGCTGGAGATTTTTTATTATTTAGTTTTTAGCTGTTTGCCCCACTGACAAATCATCTCTTAAAATAATAGAATTTTATACGTGTTGTGGTTTATGGCCATATTGCATATAATCTTAACTGATTCTCATCACATTTTCTTGAATTCAGTTGTTTTAATTTTAATTATAGTGGTGATGACTTTTGTTTTGCAGTTTGTGATGACTGTAACCAGGAGTGGGCGGGTGATTGTCTTGTTCATGGGGCTCTCACTGTTGTTGAAGATCTTAAGGTAATCAGCTCTGTCCTTTCCTTCTGCATGTAATTGGAACTTCTTTTTCACTCAAAAACAGGTAATTTTTATAGTGTGTGTATGCACACAAACACAAATAAACACATTTTCATATACACATCAGTTGTATTCGCCTAATGGAGTCTGCAATAAATTTTGCTATTCCTGGACAACTAATGAAATTTAAAACCTACATGGATATGCATCACATGACAGTAAAAGTTTAATATCAGTGTGTGATATTCAGTTCACAAACCACATACCCTAAATGCCATGTAGACATGCCCTGAATATGAAGGCAGTGTTTTCCTCCAAGATGTTAGTTTCTACCTACAAGTCCATACACGTGTCCAAGAAAAGATGTATACACGCATTCAGTTAATGAAATAAATGTATTTTAATAAACTAAACCGTTACATACATCAGCATTGGCACTTGGTTAATATAGTGTTAAAATCAAATTAAACCTGTGGCATAACAGCTCCAGAGAGCCAAATCCGGCTAGCTTGACTGCTGGCCTCACGTTCACATGCCT